GCCAGCTACGACAAATCCACCATTCAATTTCAGTTGAAAACCGGTCAGACGTTGAATCAAGATGTGAAGTATAAAATGTGTTTCATGATGACAAACAACAACGTGGGCTCAAAGACCTGCCCTGCCATATCTTTGAGTGTTGACTCTCAAGCAGCACCATCGAACTACAAGGGAACGCAGACGTATTTGTGCAAGAATGACAAAACCAGGATGGTGTATGGGTATCCATCTGAGCCTTCAGGTTGCGCTGGGTACATTGCAGACCGTCAGTTCATCATGTCAAGCTTGCGCTCTGGATCGAACGTGACTAGCAGCACCGTGTGGATCACTGCCGAGCTGCAGCCGAACTACGAGCTGTCTGCGGGTCAGACAATCACTGTCGGGCCATTTAGTAGCATGTCAAGTGCGCAGTCAGACGTTTCCTGCCAAGTTGTGCGAAATGGGCAGTTTATGAACTCAAGGACGAACCTTCATTCCGCTTCGATCGTACCAGCGACCACCTTCACTACAGGATGCAAGTTTCTCAGCAACAACATCCAGATCTATTCTGGATCGATCCCAACCCTCGTGTACGATCCATACTTTGACGTCTCTGCAAGGAGAACGCAAGGTCTGTACAAAATTGTTGTTACAGCTGGGGGCTCGGGATACTCGAATCCTACCGTGGTCATCTGCGACACGACACCTGGGCAGGAATTCTGGACCAAGAGCAGTTGTGCTGGAGTGATGTCTGCTACTGGATCATCGGCACAAGCCACTGCCTCTCTGACCTCCCAGTCTGTGACTTCCATCTCTCTCACTGCTGCTGGATCGGGCTACACTCTCCCCCCGAAGGTTGTGATTACGGATCCAACGGGCACCGGAGCAACCGCTCAAGCATACTTGTACGATTATTCGGTGTACACGGTACAGTTCCAACTCACCAACCAAGCAACGCAAGCTTCCGCACAGGCGATCTCAGTCGTATCAGGGAACTCCTTTGTAACCACTGAGATCGACAGCGGAATGAAATCTGCCAAGACTTCGATGCAGTTTGGATCAACAGTTACATCCGATGTGACATTTTCAGTGACCGCGGAACAGAATTTGTATGCCGGAGATATGCTCTTTGTAAATCTGCCGTCGTACGTCGCAGTCACGGGTCCCATCTTTGGCGTGACCTCCTCTCCTAACCCGGCCTTCACCACGTTTTCGACACAGCTGGAGTGGGAGCTCAACTACTACCAAGAAGATCGCGCTCGAGCGTACATCAGCGATGGCTGGGTGGCGGACGGGAATAGGCATCGGTCAGGCGACGGAGACGTGGACGGCTTGTTTGTGTTGTCTCCTGACGACGACGGCTACAACAAGAACAAGAACCTGTGCTGGAGTCGCGTGTCGTGCCCGTGGGGCCTACCGGACAGCGACATCACCTTCTCGAGCGGCTCCCGCACGCTGAGTCTCACGAAGGTGACAAACGCAGGAACTTACATGCTCGGTTATACACAGGACGTCTGCTACAAGATGAGCAGTACCATCCCATCCCTTTCAGCGACAGACTATGTCGGCATGCAGCTCAAGTGCCGCAACAATCAGTACACTGCGGCCACAGGTGGATCGGTCACGAGCGTGCGAGTGCGATATGGAGGGCTGACGGAAGTGACTGGAACGTCGGCGTTTGCTGGACAAACGTTTACCGTGGCTTCCTCAGGCGTGACATCAACTGCAAGCGGGCATCTGCTGTACAAGGTTGTCGGAGTGCAGGTTGTGTCCATTGCCGCGGGAACGTCTCTGGTGGAAGGAGACACTATCGTGTTCGATGCAACCTACCAAGTCACCGCAGCGACGGCCAGTGTAACATCTCTGTACAGCAGCAGCACTGCTGTGCATGTCACCGCATCAGGGCTGTACACAGGCTTTCCGTCAGCTACAGTGAGTGGCAAGGCTGGGATTGCGCTGAAAGTGCTTGTCTCGGTAGCAAGTGCACACTTGACGTCGCAAGGCAGCGGGTACACCTCCATCCCCACTGTGACGCCTTCGTCTGTCACCACATCCACGTCTCTGACTCAGATTGATCTGCCTGTGTTCGATGTATCGTTGACCAATGTGACGAGCACCGTGGTGACTCAGACTATCGTCGACTACAACCCATCAGGATCGTGCTTTGTAGTGGAAGAGGAGTTTCCAGCATCCTTCGTGAAGGACTGTGAGATAAAGCCTAAGGAGCAGGTGGGTCGGTACACCGGCATGACAGCGATGATTGGGTCCAACGAGTACATCATCAAGCAGGGAGCAGGCGGAGTGTATTGGGTAACAGACCTCAAGGGAAAGAAGCCAAGGAGCATCGACCTTGCCAACAAGCCCTACACCATCTACACGCAGCTGCAGCTGCAGGTGGCGAAGGGGAAATGGATCAGACAGGGCGAGAGCATCAGCATCACCATTCCTGGGTACAGGTTCAAGTCCGTTCCATCGAACCAGAACGCCTACATCACTCCCTCTACGGATGACGCCTCCAAGACAATCAAGGAACGAACACGATTCCAGTTTGCTGCGGCTGTGCCACACTCCAACGTACAAGTGCAGGGAACGACCACTGAGAGGATGCTGGTTTTTGGAGGGACGTTGACTGGAACGTGCACAGTGAATGGAAAGAACATCGAGCAGCCTCAGGTCCCCGGGGGGAGCGCCGTCAACAACGGAGGTACCTTGACCAGCACCACAGCATCCATCTTCTCCGCTCCAACCACCTGGGCTTCCACCCCTCCCATGTGGGGGTCCGGATATCTCCGACCGGCGAGATTTCATGGGACATGCGTTGTTCCACCAGCAACGACCGTGGCTCAGAGCTTCGACGGAATCTTCATGCTCAAGGGTCAGAGGTCGAGCGTCGAGAGAATCGAGATCATCAACCCCGGAACCAGCTGTGCATCAGGGTTGACGGTAACCATCTCAGACCCGTCCGTGGATAAGATTGTTGACGCAACGACCAACACACTGGTGTGTCCTACTGACACTTACCTGTGTACTCGGGCAACAGCGACCGTTTCAGCCAGCGGTGGCAGCGTGACATCGGTGACTCTGACCGAAGCTGGCTCAGGGTACTTCTTCCCCCCGACAGTGACGTTCACCAACCCGTCGTCATCTCAGACTCCATGTGATGCCGTAGCGATTGTGCATCTTTCACACAACTACACATCAAGAGTGCAGGTGAAGCCAGACTCCAACCTGATTATGTACCAGCAACAGAGAGATCAGTACGACTCTCTGACTGGACTTGGAACCAGCGCGTACGCTGCCGTCTCGTTGTTCAAGAAGTATTCGGCTCGCAAGACCTCGTCGGAGGTTGCGTCTGGTTATGTTGCGTCTATCGTGATAACTACAGTTCCTGCACCTTCAGCCAATCCGGATTTTACCACGAAGTGCACAGGGGCTCTGGTGATCTCTGCACCTCCATCTGGGAAGACAGCTACCGCAACTTTGCAGACGACGTCATCAAGTGTGATCTCCTCCATTCAAGTCACCGACGGCGGCTCTGGGTACATTACGCCTCCGACTGTTTCATTCCCTGCGATCAGCGCATGCGCAGGAGCGAAAGCCCAGGCCATTCTTGGGTTCAACACATCTTCAGTACACGTTTCTGGCTCACATTCCTACTCGTCCTTTACAGGGATGCAGGCTGCCACTTTGCAATCAACGGCAGTGGCTCCCACGTTTCACTCTTCCATGGACTCGCCCGTCATCGCCGGCTTCAACCAGGCCTGCAGGTCTGCGACCTCTCAGACCTACTCGAGAAGTGGCACGATGTGGGGCAACTCTCGTGTTACTGGTGTAACAGTGCCGTCTAGCACCAATGTAGTAGGGTTTGTGTATGGCTTCACCAGCGTGAGCATCACCTCGTCTCCAGTCAATGCCAACGGGCTGGTGGACCCGATGGCGAATGCTATGGGCGTCCCGACATGGTCGTTTCCGTCGGCATCCTCAGTTTTGACGAATGTGAACAACAACTTTGTGCTGCAGTACAAGGGCAAGTCCACGGACGCGAATCTCGCGGACTGCGCCAATGCCGTCTTGATCTTCAATGCACCTGAGAGGAGTGGGGGGCAGACGTTGCAAATAACAATCACCTCTGTGAGCAACGGTGTGCCAAAGTACACGATCACTCGGCAGGGAACCGGCTACGCGAACATCCCAATAGTGAGGGACATTTTGTTTACAACTGGTGGGTACCAGCAGAACTATATGGCACAAACCGCAAACCAAAAGTCCAACTGCAAACCCTCGTTCTTTGCCTTTGACACAGCATCGGCGGACAGCACATACAACATCTACACGAAGTTTGCAACCGCCGTGGCAGGGACCACTGAGGGATTGACCCTTGATGGCGTGTTGATGACGCAGGAAGGCTATGGTTATGGTGCCTCAGGGCTGTCGGTGACTGCCACGATATCCTGCAGCGGATGCTCAGGATCAAAGTGTACGAACCCTGATGGTACAGCAATAACATCCCCCTGTACAGCTTCTGCCCTGACCCTGTCTGCCACCGTTTCGAACGAGTGTCAAGGCCAGTGTGAGAAGACATCCAATCCAAGCGCCTTCTTCTCTCCGAACAACAGGAATGCGATGGAGGTCTGCTCAGCTCAGGACCCAGCGAATGGAGCGTACAACACCCGCAAGACGCTGCAGATGCGAGTCTCGAGCGGTGTGTCGGCCGTTGCCTCTGAAAACGCCTACACCGTCAAACGCAGCAAGGGTTTCCAGGGAATGAAGGGATCGTTAATCTTCAAGATCACTGCAAACGAGATGTTCGCGTCCGCCTCTGCATGTGAAGTACCTAAGGTGATTGTGGAGCCCCCACCCGCAGGCGGAGTCCAGGCAGAGATCGGTCTGGAGTACGTGGACACGCAGGTGGATTACTACACCAACGCACCGTCCTCCTCGTTGACTGCGAGCAGCAAGGGTTTTACAGCATCGACTCTTCCACTCCAGTATCGCATCAAGGTCATCAATGCGGGATCGGGCTACGTGACGTCACCTCTGATTCGATTTGTGTCAGCGTCAGCCACAACATGCGCTACGAGGCCAACCATTCAGGCCCTGGTGAGGAACGGACTGGTAGCATCTCGCGTCGAGCTTGTCAGAAAGATTGCTCTCACAGAGGCGACGTCTGGCACGACTACCATCCAACCCACATGCAGCAGCAGCTCCTACATCATCCCCACCTTGTGCAGCTCAACCACTGCATGCACAACGCCGGCGGGTTATGTTGCTTTGACACCACTGCCCTCATGCCCAGGAACGGCATCGTGTGCTGGGTCACTCTGCACACAGTTCCCTTGCACTACCTTCCCTTGTTCGCAGGACAACTGCCCAACTTACCTTTCCACGGTTGGCACCCAGGCAGGAGCTGTTCTGACCGATGAGGCGTTTACAGCGATCGGGTGGAACGCCAACACTGACAGCCCTGTACTTCTCAATGCTGGCTTCGGCTTCTCTCCGAACACCCCCAACCCTCTCAAGCTCTTCTTTCCCTCGGACGCAGGGGCATCCTACCCCTGTGCGGAGATCCTTGTTTACTTCACGGAGGGCTCCAACTCCGAGACGTTGAGTCCTGGCCCTCTCTACTGGCCAGGCGATCTTTCGTACAGCAAGGGTGCTCTTCGCAACTCTGCGGAGCAGGTGACCAAGATTGACTATCTTCTGCGCTCGGGGTTTAGCGACGGAGTGTACGGTGTTTCAACGGCGAGTGTAGCAGTGACCACCTTCCAAGGGGTGTCGGCTCGCAGAGCAGCAGCGACCACCAAGATCTTGACAGTAGGATCCACAGCAGGGTTTAACGCCAACGACTACATCAAGATCAAGAGCGAGATTTTGCTCATTGACTCTGTGCTCACGTCTACGACGCTGTCGGTGTACAGAGGGCAGTTCAACACCACCACGGGGACTTACGGAGTCGGAACCATCGTTCGGACTTTCAATCCAGGATCGGTTCTGCTACAAGACGTCTCCTCCACTGCGACCACCTTGACGTTGACCAAAGCAACTCAGTTCAGCCAGGGCACATATGTCCTGATCAACAACGAGATCATGTTCATCTCATCAGTGCCATCGACGGGAACCAGCTTGACCGTTCTCCGCGGACAGGGCGGAACTCTCCCTGCTTCGCACAAGACAGGCGCGGTGGTGGGCAAGACAGCGTTGACATTGCAGCTTCCTCTCGCATTGAGGGCCGGTGTGACAGCTCGTTGTTTGCGGGTGCCTACATCACGCTGGGTAACGAGATCATGAAGGTGACTGAGATCTCTGGAGATCTGGTGTATGTCACCAGAGGGGAGCTAGAGACAACACCGGCGGAGCACGCGGCTGGAACATTGTTTTCCACTACCAAGCCCTCCGCACTTGGTACGACCATCACTCGGCGGGGCATGGTGCTCGTATCTAAGGTCGCTTCTGCAAGCGATCCGCTGATCCAGGTGAAGGACCCCGTGCTGGGGTCATCTTCCAGCGGATTTCAGGCTGGAGACTATGTCCAGATGCTGGGAGAGGTCATGCTCGTGCAATCTGTTGTCTCTTCGACCAGCGGATACCTGATGCAGAACCTGACGGTTGTTCGTGGACAGCAGTCAACCACGGCCGAGGCAACCGCAGATGCTGGGACGCCTGTCACGTACGTCTTCAACCCCAAGACTCTCACAAAAACCATCGCTGCAAATACCGCCATCACATCGAGTGATTTGTCTGACATGAATGGGATCGCTGCAGGCGACTACCTTTTGATGACATCTGGGACTCAGAACGAGGTGATCAAGTATCTGGGAGGCTCCAGCTTCGCTCGAGGACAGGCCAACACAACCGAGGGAGAGTTTCCCCAGACTGGAACTGTCATCCAGAAGGTCGACAAAATGCCAACCTTGGTCAAATTCATCAACGACACTGTATCCACAGCCGTCAATCAAACGACAGAGTTGACGGATATTACTTTAAAGCAATTCGAGGGGATCAGTGCGGGAGCGACGGTGGTCATCGACGCACAGGTGTTCAATGTTACGTCCATCGACGCGGCAAATAGCAAATTGAATCTTGTGTCCATGTATCCGCAGACCCAATCGGTGAGTACAACCAACCGGCTGGTAATCCCTGCCGGAACCAAGGTCTATGTTGTTCAGGATGCCAGACTCTTGAGCCAAGACATGGCAGCACACGACACAGTTGTCAACTTGTACGGGGACGTGAGTTCTACTTACAGCGCTGGGGACTTTGTTCGTGTGGATACGTATCAGGGCACCTCCGAGATCCTCCAGGTCACGGGTGTATCCGGGTCATCTCTAACAGTGGTTCGAGGAAACCCCACTCTCACTCACACCAAGAACGAGTCTGTGTTGTACATGTACAACAAGGTTGGGGTGTTTGATGTTTCTACCTTTGTTGCTGGTGACTACATCAAGGTGGGACAAGAGCTGGATCAGGTGCAGGCGGTGGGTACTCATGAGTTGACAATCAACCGCATCAGTCCTTACAACACGTGGTCCTTCCATGAGGGATCTGACTTGGTAACCCTGCAGCAGAAGACCAGCTTCCAGAAGACCACCCTTGCAGTTGCTGTGAACAGCTCCTTGACGAGCGTTATCTTGACGGACGCATCCGGGTTCAAGCTGAACGACTACATTCAAGTGTCGAACGAGCAGCTGCAGGTTGTCAACATTAACGGAAACAACCTGCAGGTGTCAAGGGCTCAGCTCGGTACCACAGCGTCTGCACACAGCGCTGGGGCGACTGTCAAGTGGGTATCGTCCCCGACAGTATCCTCGACGATCCAGGCAACAAGCTTTGCAAGGAGGTCTATGCACTTGAGGTATGTTGCCCAGTCAAGCAGCATTACTCTCCCTGCCGGGATCACGCGCAACGTTTGGGCGGAGCTGGACCAGGAGATCTTTTTCGTCCCAGGCGCCGGAGATGTGGCGGCAGCCAACCGAGGCAGACGTGGCACTACAGCCGCGGCGCACACGAAGAACGTGCCTTACAACTTCCCGAACAACTTGTTCTCGCTGCAGTTCAACGTGAAGTCAGCGTATCCCGGTGCCACTGGCTTCTCAGCTGTCCCAGTGTACGGGATGAGCGCGGGTGGTGTGTACACCGTGTCTGGATTCTCAGTGCGCAACATGGGGAGTGGGGTCACGACTGACCCGACGCTGCAGCTGACCCTCAACCGTTACGTCGAGAACGGCGATGGCAGCAACCTGCCTGGTGTGACAGGCACTTCCTACTCCTACCAGACTTTCACCAACCAGGTCTTCTTGAGCGTGGACATGACCAACAAGTTCACCCAGAGGCTGATCAGGCCCTCGCTCCTCTACCCAGAGATCTACAAGCCCTCGCAGTTCCCGGCAGACCCTCTCTACTTCCAGGACCTCATGGACGGTTTTGACACGGCGTCAGGCAGCAGCCTCTTGTCTTCCACCTCCAGCGCCATCAACGCAAGCTCTGCCAACGTGTACGAGCCCGGGTCGCCAGTGTGGGTGCTGGACTCCTTCGGTCAGATGCTCGGCGATCAGCCGGTCCAGCAGCAGGTGTACACGCTCAGCAGCCCTTACGCCTACTCGATCTCGAACAAGCCCTCCGTGCTGGACTCGACCTGGACAGCACCGTCGTTGATGATTGTGTCGACGAGCTCGGCGACATCGGCAAGCCTGTTTCTGAACGACACGCTCATTGGCAAGTTCGCCAACGGACAGACTCGGGCTGGTCTCTCATCGAGCACGAGGATGTTTGTGTGGAAGACTGATCCTCGCAAGCTCGCTGTCTCGATTGCTTCTTCCTCCCCGAGCGGAGGTGCCACCACCACCACCACCACGACACCAGGGTCAAGCACCAACGTCGGCGCCATCGTCGGCGGAGTGATCGGAGGAGTAGTCGGTGCTGCCCTGCTCGGGTTCCTGGCCTACAAGTTCCTGGCCCCGGCTGCCGTGGCTAAGCCTCCCGTGGAGGAGATGGTACCCGTCTACCTCCCACAAACCTACCCCGTCCTCCCCGTCGACTACGCCTCCGCTGCTCCCATGCCCGTGCAGACGCCCGTGTACGGTCAGCAGCCGATGGCGTATGGAATGTAAGTTAGCTAGATAGATGTACGTCTGCCCCATGATCCGACTAAGCCCATCCCAATGCGCTCTGTCTCCCACCCTTTACAAGCCTTTTTTTTTCTTCGTGAGTAAAAATAGATATATATGACAACGCTAATGGAGAAACGATCTGACTCAGTGAGCCTTTATTACTCTCTCCTGCAAGAGCCCTCGGATGCTGCCTGCAAATACCTCGTAGTACAGCATGGGGAGTGAGCCAATCGTCTCTGTCGCAGTTCAACCGTTCTCACAAATCCACTGTTTTCCCCATGACACCACCTAAATCTGCTTCGCAATCTCTGAATTGTTTATAAAACCCAGCATTGACCTTCGCTTCCTCTCAAGCCTTTGAAGCTCAACCTTACTTCTCTATCTCCTCTTATGCCACTCACATGATGCTGGCTAGACTTCCTGCTTGGCATCTTCGCCCCTGGAACACTCTGATGGAAACAGCCAGACCAGGCCCTCCGCCTATCCGTTAAAATGAGGGAGGAAGGTGAGTTGCGAGCGGAAGGGAGAGTGTGAGGGGGATCTGAAAGAAATTTAACGAGTCTGAAGCAGTTTTTGTTGGCCCCCTGACCTCACTCTGAGCCCCTTCAGTTCCCTCCAGCCGAGTCAGCTCGCCTTCTCGCGCCGACTGTCTGTCTGTCTCGCAGCTGCCTCTTCAGGTGCCTCATTCGGTTAGCGAGTGTCAGGTCGTCTGTGCGCGGGCTGATGGACATCGAACAGCGCTGAATCCTTGTCCTGGTCCTTGTCCTCGTCAGCATGATGCCTTGGCAGCTCATGTGGGGTGCTCCGGCTGCCTCGAGGGCATTGAGTCCAGATCTGCATGCTGGCAGCGATCCTCGAGGTCACATGGAAAACCCTAAACCCTAAACCTGGCGATTAGGAGCGTACTCAGATAAGACACTGAGTGCCTTGACATCTGAGCTGGAGCTGATCGTCCTAACCATTCAGCCCTCTCGGCAGAGCAGCAGCGTGCGAGCTTTCCCACCAGACTGTGAGTAGGAGGCGACTCTTCAAGGTTGACAAACTTCTTCCTCATCTCACAGCAAGAGAGCTCATCGTCTAGAGCCCTGGAATTCTCTCAACTCGGGCAGAGTGTGAGTGAAGTCTCCATTGTTGATGCCAACTAGGAATGACAACCAGGAAGAAACCATGGGAAGGGTATGAGGGGAACAGGAGCGGGAGAGGAGAACTTCTCACGTCTTCAGTCGAACAGGAGAGAGGTCGTTGCCGATGCCGAGCTGCTTGCAAGCGTCGAGGAGGAGAGAAGAAACGTTGAGAGGGTCGAGAGTCTCGAGGTGCCTGCTGCCGTCCCTGCTGTCCTCGCTGACTGAAACATCGTTGAAGCGGAGGAGCCAGAGGACAAGGCTAGTGAAATATTGAAACTTGATGTCATGATGAGGATGAGCATGCGTGAAGAAACTTGGTGTGAGGGGAGGGAGGGCTTGAGCACGACAGAGAGCCTGCAATAAGATGGAATGTCGTCAGATTAAGAAACAATTTAGAAAAGGAGATCAGGAGGAAGTTCTGAAAGATGAACCAGTGCAGCTGGCTGACTAGGATCAAAGTGAAGAACATTATTTCAGCGACGATGACAATGACGATGACGATGATGAAGATGAAGATGAAGATGAAGATGAAGATGAAGATGAAGTGGCAATGATAGGGTATGACTTAAAATCTTCCATAGCATCACACAACATCAAGTCAACTTGTGTGTGCTTGTGTTCACCTCGTAGTCGAGAAGTTGGCAGAGATCAATGATCTCTATCTGCACAAGGAATCAGGTCAAGATGATTCATGACACAGCCACAAGTGTGACTGTCTCACCATCATCATCAGTCCACTCGGTCGCTCCTGGTAGGAGTCGCAGGCCATTTGAGCGAAGGCGAAGGCCTCAGAAGCTGCGAGGTGAAGACGAAGACAGAAGGAAGGAGTCAGTGCCAGAAAGAGAAGCTGAAATTGAAGGAGAGGATGAGGAGGCGAGGACTACTCGAAGAGAAGAAGTCCGTAGGAGGAGGAGCAGGAGGAGGTGGAGGAGGAGGAGAAAGGAGGAGGGGAGAGGGAGGAGGAGAAGGAGGAAGGAGAGCAGACACTTCACCACATCTTCTCTCACCCGTGGGCCGTTTCTTCGGGTCCTTGTGCAGCATCCTGTTGACGAGGCCTCTACTCGCACAATCAGAGGAGAAGACTTGGGGTTTAGGGTTAGAGGCGTCGGTTCGGCACCTGAGCTCTTGAGAGAACAACTCGGGGAGAGGAGCGAAGTCTCCATCGTTGATGCGCTTGAAGATGTCGTAGAGGTTCTGCCATACTGTTACTGGGGATTGACAGACGATGAAGCAATCGGACACGATCAGGCGAGGGGGAGGCTGACTCAGACGATGGAGATGAAGAAATCAGAATCCAGAGGTTCAGAGAGATCAGATGTGCAAGGAGAGGAGGAGGAGGGGAAGGGGAAGGGAGGTCGGGGGGAACCTGGTTCGGCGCCTCGAAGGGGGAGGAGAGAGTAGCAAACTCATAGAGGAGACATCCCAGACTCCACATGTCAGACTGCGAGACCGTGAGAGCAAGAGGAGGAGCTTCGCCGAGACCTTGAAGTCGTAGCCCTGCCCGTGAAGAACCTCAGGCGACATGTACAAGGGAGTTCCGACCTGCCGGCATCAATGAGACCAGTGAGAAGGAGGCAGAAAGGGAGAGCAAGAGAAAGGAAGGGAGGGAGAAGATCAATGTTTGATGGGTGATAACGAGAGAACAACAGAGAAAGGGAGAACATGAAATCAATCTTTTACCTTGGAGAAAGTCTCGACCGACTGAATGCAAGTGAGCGTCATGAACAATAACAAAAATATATTGTCATCATCAACAAGAGCAAAACAAATGACCAAGAAAATGACGACGAAACCAACACGAGGATGCCAATAAGATTTAGAGCGAATAAGAAGGACAGTGCAAGTGACCTCAGCAGAGAAAACTCTTCCTAGTCCAAGATCGCCAAGCTGAAGAAATTGTCATACACCTGTATTCGTCATCAATCCCAAGAAGCGAACCTTCAAGACGTTGTTTGCAGAGATGAAAATGTTAGCTGGCTGTCAAATCAGGTGAGCACAAAGATGATGAGGGGCAGTTAGGCTAGACAATAGGAGGAGGAGGGTTTAAGTATATCACCTTGATGTCTCTGTGCATCATCCTCTGCTCGTGCATGTGGGCGACAGCACCAGCAACCTGCAGGAAGGAGAAGCGCATGAGGCAAGTTGGTCTCAGAAAGATGAAGGACAAGACCTGCAGGAAATATTTCCAAACTTCTCTCTCCTCAAATGGAGCTGAAGACAAAATAAATCCCGTCCTGTTCATCTCTCTTCTCCTGCTCTACCCTTGGACAAGTAGATGCGACAAAACCCGGTCCCCCCCTTTCTCTTCTTTTT